AAACTAAATAAATACTAGAGTCTAGAGTATTGAGAAATCTAAATAAATCTTTAATTTATTAAAGGAATTCATTTACAGCTATTTGGAACACATATTAGCTTAATTTATGTGCAATATTGCAAAAATACGAAAAAAAATAGTTTTTTTTATTTTTTTAAAATAACTATCTTGCTTTAGTTACTGTTACAAATGGCCGTGGACAGTCAAGGTCAAAGACGTAAAAAAGTTCGGCATAATACACCAACTAACTGTATTTATTAAGTGAATAAAAAATCATTTACAGCAATTTGTAACAGATCAGGACAGCCCAATGTACAACATATCAAAAACCAAAAAAGTTTTAGAAGAATTCAAATCATTAATTAAAACTTTAACAAAAATTACTCAAACTTACTTTACTATTTGTTACAAATTGCTTAAAGTTGTGAAAAATTAGATTCCTATAAATTGCAAAGTGGTTTCAAAAACTATTTTATCAATTGTCTACAGTAATTTGAAACACATATTAGCTCGATTTTATGTGCAAAACTTAGAAAAAATAACAAAAAATGTTCTTTGACAGTAAGATAAAAACTCGGAAATTTCATTTTTTGAAAAAATTATGATTGTCTACCGCAATTTGGGACAGATTTTGCGTACGCAACTGTAATTTATCAAATAACTAAACAAATTGATCTTTCTTTAAATTTTACTTTAGTATTTGTTACAAATTGTTTAAAAAAAAATAAAAAATTGTAGCATATTCTTTACAATAGTAAAATAGAGTATGATATATTATTACATGATTTTCCTGCAATTTGGAACAGACATTACCTTGATTTTCATCAGAACAGCCAACTTTCGCAGAGACAGACTTATTAGTATTAAAAATGCTTTTGCAAAAAGTTATTTGATTTCCATTTGTAATAAAACATAACAGGAGGAAACAAGTGCTCGACTTATTTGCTATTCATTAAAGCTTTTACTCTCAAGTACTCCCTCAACGATAGCAAAATGTAACGAAAATTCAAATTTCCTCACATTTTCATCAAAGAACTTAATCGTTGGGTGAAAAAAGTTCAAGTAAATAGAAAAATATCCACCAATGAAACAATTTTAATTAATTATCTCATGTTTGGATTTTTCAAGCAACAAAAAATCCACCACTGGAAAGCTTTTAAGAATTAAAAATTCTCTGAAGGTTTTTCAGCTGGCGGAAGTTTTATTTGGAACGAACAAAGCTCTTGTTAGTTTTGTTGGTGAAACAATTATTTTTAAAGTGGTTTAGATAAAATGTAACTTTCCTAAATGTAGTTTAAGAAGTTGAGTAAAATTTCTCTAAAGAACTTTTATTTAATAATAATATGTAAGATAAGACGGGCTTTGTAGTGCCTGGAACGGTTCTTTGTTTCGTGTTCTCATATTTAAATTTTCCGAGCTTAGTTACAATTATTGTGCAATTCTTCTCCAAACTTTAATAAATAACAAATTAGAACGCTATGATTTATTCGCAAACTATTTCCCCAACTGTGCTTTTAAGCGACGAATTAAACTTTCATGATGTCTGAAATTTTTAGTTTATTTGTAATCAACTTGTTTATATTTAAAGACGATTTTTTCCTCTGAAAAGCTGAAACGAAAGCCATTCAAATGCTTTTACAAAAGAAATGAAACTCTGCAATAGCTTGAACCACAAGGTGATAAACATTAAAATAAAATTTAATGTTTTAACATATTGGGAGAAATTCAATCTAACGCAATGCAGCAAACAAGGGCGGATCCAGGGGAGGGGCCCAGGGGGCCAGGGCCCCCCCAAACTTGCCACCAAAAGCTTCAATTTTTCATATTTAAATTTTAATATAAAAACCTTATGACCTAAAGTTTTTTAATTAAAATCATTAGAATTCTTTTTAAATCACATTTATTAATACAAATACCGAGAGATCAAAATAATTTGTAATCGAGTCATTTTTGGATCCGAAAACGTACAGTTGCGGAATTAAAATTTCGGGCAGTACTGTCATTTTTATAATGTAAACTCTAAAACAATCTTTATATTAATAACCTCATTTTTTACTCTTGCCATATTTATGTCATTGTGACTTATTTACTTTCAAAAATAGTGACTTGTGGTAGTCAGCAGATCAAAGCGATGATTTAATTACACTTAGTTCAATTAATAACTTTCCTAAGACAGACAAATTGTTTAATTAACAAATTTAACAACAAATAAAAATAAGTTTAATTGTCAAATGTAAGTCATAATGATAGTAAAAGGTAGTTTACAGTGAACTTTTTAATAGGTACTGTCCGAATTTTTAATTCCGCAACTGTACGTATGTCTGTTTTTGAACCAACTGCACGTGAAACGTCAAATAAAATGACAAGTCGAAAACGGCAAAATGGGCTGGAATTAGTCACCCACGTATAATAATAAGACCGTTCTTTTTTGGAGGTAAATCATAAATTTAGTTATCTTTTTGATCATGGGATTTTACCTTTTCACTTGTCATTTTATTTGACGTTTCACAGACATACGCACAGGACATACGTTTTCGGATATAAGGACAAATTATCTTGATCTTTCGATACTTACTTAGTTTTTACTAATTTAAAAAGAAATCATCAATTGTAATTTTCTTTGGGCCACATCTTAGGTATCTAATTAAATTAAGTTTAAATCTTTTTAAATAATGAACTTTACCAACTCGCTAGCACACATTATACAGAATTTTCAACTTGTTTTAAAATTCTACTCTTTTTGGTTTTTGGGTAATGACGGCAGCGACATTTTTTTTAATAGAAACCCCTAATTTTTTTACCGAATTCGATAGTTTTTTTAATTATGGAAATGGCAACACCAAAATATTGTTACATAAAATTCTCAAAAAAAAAATTAGGCAAAAAGTGAAATAATATCAATAAAAAACAAAGATAGAATTTTAAATCAAGTTAAAAATTTTGTATTTTTTAAAAAGAAAATTGACCTGTTTGAGCATTTTTTCAAAACAAAATATTTTCAGTTTTAATAAAGAAGATTATTCTATAATTTTGCCGCTCTCTGTATATTCTCATCATTCTAAAAAAATTTTAGATAGCCCCCCCCCCAAAATTAATTCCTGGATCCGCCCCTGGCAGCAAAGAACTAATTTGTATGCAACAAGTTTTCTCTTTATTATCTCATTTTTTACAAAATTGATTTATAACAGAAATTCCCTGGTTTATGCTGTTTGGCATAAATAATTTACAACGTAAAGTAAATTGTCCAATAAATGTTTTGAATATTTCATCTCGAATTTTCTCTTATCGCATCAAGAGCCTTGAATATTTCCGGGTACAGAAACAGATGCACATCATCCGCCATCAGAAAATCTAAATGATTGTAAGGAACTCCAGATGGGCTTTTCGGTATCGAAATCATCGACTTTTCACGACTCCCCAACTCCCCCAACAACATTCTAACATTCTTCAAAACCAAATTAAATTAAAAACAAAACCAAACAACAATCATCACCTGTTCACTGGCAACCAAATCTTTTTTACCATAAAACAAATAAACGGGAACTCGAATATCACGCAAATCGTAACTACGAGGCTCACTTAATCGATAAATTTCGATGTTTTTCAGCCTACCATAATCGTATTTTCGGATACGACCGGTTATCGCAATTTGCAAAAAATGCCTCAAGACCTGAACCGAAGTCGGAGTCGGGGCATGACTGAAAAGCAGCAAAAGATCATCCTGAAATCATTACTCCCATTTTCAGGTCGTTGCAAACGTCACACAAACCGGATGAAAACGCTGTGTCACATTTCCCACGAAAAAATCCAACACTTTTTTGCACAAGTGCGGAAAAATGCCACAAAGGTGGTAAACAAACCGGTTTACCCCGTCTTGGTAGAATAGCCCCTCGATGCGCAATCGGGTCAACTCTCGCTGGGAAAAAAAAAACACTAATTAGCAATCGTTGCTAGGCATTGGAGGCTATTACCTAGCAACTAAGCGTTGCCAAAGCATTTTTTGGTTTCGTTGCTAAGCAATAGCAACTAGGTACACTCAGCGTAGAAAAGATTGTCCTCCTAATAAACCGCAATTAAAAGTTAAATACCGTTTTAAATGTTATAATAAAATAAACAATATTATTATTAGTAATATCTAATAAAAACCATTTATTGTTAGACATTAAAATGACTAAAACTAACCAGAGGCAATTTAACATAACTCTTTAATTTATTGATAGCTTAATTCTTTTTAAAAAATTTGCATTTGACAAATTAAACAATTTCATATCATTTTTAATCAATTCAACAAACTTTGACAACAAACACATCGATTTTCTAAATATTTTACAATTTAATTTTGCTATAATAAACAGAAGATAAAATATTTAAAAAAATTGTAGATTATTTATTATGTAGTAGGTATTTTTTGTCTTACTACAACCGTGTTTGTTTTATTCGTATTCAAAATTAATTTGCAAATATTATTGTATTAAAGTTAGAAGTAATTTTTTGGTAATAATTTGTTTATTAATAGGGTAGACAGTTCTCCAATGGCTAGGATTTTTTTTAATACACAAAAATTAAAATTGATTAATTTAGTTTTAATAAAGTAACTGAACTGAACAATTATTAGCAAAAACAAATTTGTAAATTTGTTAATAAAATTGTTTTGCGATTGCAATATCTTGGTTCCAAACATTTCAATTTTGTAAACGTTGCCACGAGTTCAACAGAGTTAGCACATCTACCTGTTTGAATTGAATAAAAATTAATAATAAAATGAAATGAAATTGTTTAATTTGTCATTTACAACTTAAAAAAAAAGTATCAATATTTTAAGGAGTTATTTATTAAGTAGTCTCATTTGGTCATTTTAATTTGTAATAATTGAGGCTCGGATTATATGCAAAATGCATATTTGTCATTAAGAAGTATATCAACAAAATTGTAAGTTTTCTATGCATATCTAATGTTTTTTGATTAAAATAAGCCAATTAAAAAATGCATATTTTGCATATTTTGGCAACTTGGTGCATATTTTAGGAAATATTGCATATTTGTGCATATTTTCTTCAAATCACTAATTTCCGATTAAAGATTTCAGTTCAAGTTAAAAATTGGACAGTTTAAGAAAAATAATCCGATTACAAAATATTTTAAAGAGAAAACAACCGCTAATTCGTAAGCCAAACTCAAAAAATTAGTTCCCTGTTGAGAGTTTTCTTTTTAAATTCGTTTTATACTGGGTGAATATAAAGTATTAAACCAAGCAGTTTTTTTTTTAAATCATTTGTTTCCAAAAAATAATAATTAATATAAATTAATTAAAGTAATATAAAAAAATGATTTTTTAAGAACAAAATTTTGTTTTGTTTTTGAGTTATTCGATTTTTGTTGTCTAAATTGCGATATACATATGTAAAAAAATAATTTAATATAAAGTAGATAGTTGTAATCCCATAGATCTTGACCTTCATGAGAAAAATGTTTTTTTGTTGGGTTGCCATTTAAAAAAATAAATATTTTTGTAGAACTCAAAAACAAAAAAATAAAAATTTTGAAAAAATTTTTTTTGATAAAACATCACATTTCTATAGAACTTTATAATTCATCAATTAGCTTTTTCAAAAAATAAATACTTTAAGCAAAAAACGTGATGTGATCTGAAAAGTACAGATTTTTTAGAAAGGGTTAATTACTAGGTTATTAAAATGGCTTGTCTCACGCCAAACCAATTTATTTATTCTTTCATTTATTGTGTGCAGTTCAAGATGACAAAAATACAAAGTTTAGTGTATTCGAGGATAAAAATTTATCCCAACTTTGATTTTTTATTGTTAAAAATTTTGCATATCGATGCATATTTGGCATATATTGGAACATGTTTCTTAATATTTTGTGCATATTTTTGTAAAAAAGCGCATATTTTACGAATTTTTCGTGCATATAATCCTAGCCTTAGTAATAATAGTTGGTATTAGGTATTTCTAATAATAATATTATTTATTTAATTTTGCCATCTAAACCGGCATTTACTTGTTATCTTGGTAAATAAATAGCTAATTAATAATCAATTAGAATTATTTTTAATTTAATTTTTAGTTACAGTATAAACTTGTAATTTTTTTTAAATAATTTGTTACTTACTCAATTGAACTTCAAACTAACTGTTGAATAAGAAATGAAGTTTACAATAGAAAAGATTTATTGTTGTGGTTTATGGGTTTAGCCTCAGCGGGAGGACAATCTTTTCTACGCTGATTGTACCATACCTGTAGGGGAACCCCAATTTTGGCCAATTTGGCCACAAGGGGGAGATTTCGGAGATGTATGACGGGGGCCATTGCTATTATGCCTGAAAGTAGGTTGTTTGCTTGTCCTTGGTTCCCCGCATTGTACAAAAAAGCCAATGTGGTACCCATCGAGTGGCCAAGGTATATAATAGAGCCCCATTTTCCGGTTTTTTTAGCCACGAATTTTAGTTGTTCCCCAATATCGAAAAGTGCTAGTTTGTCTAGACTAGAAAAATATTGAAAAATTTGTGGGGTAAATTTCGGGGAAGTACTTAAAATCCCAGTATTGTTTGTCTGAAATATTGAGTTTTTTGTGTGCTTGTGCAAAATTGCATCCTCGTATTGTGCCCAACCAGACGTCGTAGCCTCGATCGGCTAAATTGAAAGCTAAAAATTTTGCAAAATAATTTTTTTTTTGAAAAATGAAAAAATACCGAGTGATTTATTTCCAACATCCACCCAGTCTGCACTACTTTTAAATATGCCATGCATTAGAAAAACGGGTTGTTTGTCGAGTTTATTGTTCAGAGCCGGAATTCGAAAAATGGTTAAAATGTAATCATCCGGGGTCGTAATTGTGTAACTTTCAAGAGGATACCCGTGTCGGTGTACAATACTAGGCTGAAAAAAAAATAGTTCGGTCGCAAATTTCAGTTTTGTACTCACAGTATCTGAAAGAACGTCGGGATTGTGATAGCAATTTTTACTGAAAAATCTCACTGTGTAATCATTGTAATTTCGGCACGCATTGTTATTGAAATTAAAGCCTTCGGTTTCAATAGCGAAAAAAATTATAACCGCACCACGAATCCAGCTCATTTTTTATTTTAAACCCAAAGTCAGCTCATTCCCATTTCGGTGCAGAAAAATCGATACGGCACGAAATTCGCATTTAGACTTATCAATGGTGCAATTATCATGAAACGGTGCAATGTGCTTCTTAAGAAATGTAGGTCGACGGAGAGATAAAGTCCTAGTAGTAAAATCACTGCAGCTGCACCACCTGCTTTATGAGGATCCCGGAGAAACACAAAATCCGGAGATAAAAACAATTAAGTTACGGTAAGGAGAGTAATGACTAAGGCTCGGATTATATGCAAAATGCATATTTGTTATTAAGAGGTATATTAACAAAATTGTAAGTTTTCTATGAATATCTAATGTTTTTTGATTAAAATAAGCCAATTAAAAAATGCATATTTTGGCAACTTGGTGCATATTTTAGGAAATATTGCATATTTGTGCAAAAAACGTGCTTAAACGGTTCAAAAACATCATTTTTTAGCTCAAAAAACGGAGAAAAAATTGGCACTTTCGTCCTAATTTGGTGACTTTTTTCTGGCTATAAAAATTACTTCGAAAAATGCAAAATTTATTTCATATTCGACGTAATTTAGTGGTAATTTGGGCTTATTATGCGAAATAATTGCATTTCTGGTTGAAAAATCTACTAAAACTCTCAAAAAATCCCAATTTTTTATTTTTGACGTAATTAATTGAAAAAAGTGAGTTTTCAGCTCAATAACAAGGTTCAAAACTCGAAAAAGACAAAAAAACACCGTTGTTATTGAAATCTCTGAATTTCTTAGCTTATCTTCGAACAAAACTTTCGCAAAATTCAAAATTTATTTCATTTTTGCCGTACTTTGAAGATTTTTCGGATTATTATGAACAAAATAATTGAATTACTGACTGAAATATTCGGGCAAACATAAAAAATCATATTTCTGACTAGAAAAATCAATAAAACCTTCGAAAAATTGAAAATTCATTTAATTTTTCACCTGATTTGTTCGCTATTTTTGTCGTGATTTGGAGATTTTTCGGTTTATTAAGGACGAAATTTTGCATAAATTATTTCGATTTTGACCAAAATTAATGATTTTGCGGTTTGTTTTCTGAAAAAACGTTCTTAAACGGTCTAAGAAATTCAAAAACATCATTTTAAGCTCAAAAATTTAGTTAAAAGAAGGCGAAAAATTGACACCTTTCCTCGAAATTTGGTGACTTTTTTTGGCTATAAAAATCACTAAAACCTTCAAAAAATGCAAAATTTATTTCATTTTCGACGTAATTTAGTGGTAATTTGGGCTTATTATGCAAAATAATTGCATTTCTGGTTGAAAAATCTACTAAAACTCACAAAAAAAAACAATTTTTTTTTATTTTTGTCGTAATTAATTGAAAAAAATTAGTTTTCAGCTCAAAAACAAGCTTCAGAACCAAATCACTAATTTCCGATTAAAGATTTCAGTTCAAGTTAAAAATTGAACAGTTTAAGAAAAATAATCCGATTACAAAATATTTTAAAGAGAAAACAATCGGTAATTCGTAAGCCAAACTCAAAAAATTAGTTCCCTGCTGAGTTTTCTTTTTAAATTCGTTTTATACTGGGTGAATATAAAGTATTGAACCATATGTTTTTTTTAAATCATTTTATTCCAAAAAGTTATAATTAATATAAATTAAAGTAATATAAAAAAATGATTTTTTAAACACAAAATTTTGTTTTGTTTTTGAATTATTCGATTTTTGTTGTCTAAATTGCGATATACACATGTAAAAAAATAATTTTATATAAAGTAGATAGTTGTAATTCCTTAAATCTTGACCTTCATGAGAAAAATGTTTTTTTGTTGGGTTGCTATTTAAAAAAATAAATATTTTTGTACAACTCAAAAACAAAAAAATAAAAATTTTGAAAAATTTTATTTTTGATAAAACATCACATTTCTGTAGAACTTTATAATTCATCAATTAGTTTTTTCAAAAAATAAATACTTTAAGCAAAAAACATGATGTGATCTGAAAGTACAGATTTTTTAGAAAGGGTTAATTACTAGGTTATTAAAATGGCTTGTCTCACGCCAAACCAATTTATTTATTCTTTCATTTATTGTGCGCAGTTCAAGATGACGAAAATACAAAGTTTAGTGTATCCGAGGATAAAAATTTATCCCAACTTTGATTTTTTATTGTTAAAAATTTTGCACATTGATGCATATTTGGCATATATTGGAGCATATTTTAATATTTTGTGCATATTTTTGTGAAAAAGCGCATATTTTACAAATTTTTCCTGCATATAATCCGAGCCTTAATTATGAGGATCCCGGAGAAACACAAAATCCGGAGATAAAAACAATTAAGTTACGGAGAGGAGAGTAATGACCACAACCAACAAACTACTTTTAAAATCTTTTACTCGGAATATATTTCCACGAGAGAAAATCAATATGGTCAAAGTGCCTTCTAGGGGCTCCAACTGAATGTGCACTTTTTTTACAAGCTTGCAATTTCATTCAACCTAAATCACTAATTAGGGGCTAAATAGGCCATCTTATCACACCAAACAATTTGCAACAAATATATTTATTGCCATACTTTAAAAAATCGAGAGGCCGTTAACTTAAAAAAATATGTACAACTATTTATAAATTTTAGTAATTCCAATAAAATTCCAAAAAAAATTAATTAATTCGATTAATTCCTGTAATTCCAACTTAAAAATTGTAATTCCA